ATTGGAGTATTGCAGCCTCCTTCCCACCATTCAATAGTATATTCAGTGCTCTGCGTGCAGAAGTAATAATAACAACAACAACACCACTACCTTTCTTCTAATCATGAACCAGATCCTAAGTAGTTGTAGTAGTAGTAGGTTCAAATGATGATTGGAGTATGGCCATTCGATGAGGCATTGAATGCATCGATCGATGAGGAGTTCATATTCCTGTATTATATATCCCTTTAACTCTTCTTCTTCTTGTTAATGTCGTTATTACAGGTATTTTATGATATTTGGGCTGATATGCTACTTCGTTATGATAACATTATTCCTTGTAATAGTATTAGATGCTTTTCAACAATACAAAAGAGTTATCGAAGAAAACGTTGTGGAGGGAAATTTCATAGCTGACATGTAATACGTGTCACACTTTCAACAACTCAGACTGCGCCGCCGCGAGTTCTGATTATTATTTTGTCAACTCTCGCTGCTGCTATAATAATAATAATTATTATCATCATCATCATACTAACTCATTCTCGTTTTCCTCATCTCTTAGTGGTGTATGTCTTCGATACTTCACAAGGAAGAGAAGAGATCTACTCCTGAGCATATGCTGGCCATCACGAGTACATGTCGTACAAGCTTTAAGGATAATGAAATCTATACTACCAGTAATACTCACACTATTACCCTCTTCTACTCACTGTGATTATGATTATGATTTAGTCCTAGTGCACTACTTGTATCTCAGAATTCTATGCATCATTATGTTACTTATGAAGATATTGATAAGCTCCTCTGTTCACAACACTCATCGACCACTGGAGAAGAGTCATTATTAGCAAGATATTCACATCAAGGAGTGAGTCATATGTGGACTTTCTTTGCTCAACAGTTCCGAGGTGATGAACATGATCATGATCATATAGACACAGAAGAGACTGCTCCTGGTAAGTTGTATTATTATTATTGTCATCACGAATTCGACTTTGGTAAACCATGTGCACCTAACCATTATGGCAGAGATTGTCGGGTATCATTATAATAATGCTGCTGATGATGATACCAAAGAAAAACTATCCAAGAACGTTGATGGTCCTTCATCGGTTCATGGTTGTTTACATCCTCATTTTGCTGTGGATGCGCATCGATGGGCAATTAAAAGTAGGAAGATCACCAAGGATGTTGATTGGGTAAAAAAAGCATGATCATCATCTTGAGTTTGAATGATGTTTCCTCCTGTTCTCATCATTAGACTCTACGTAAGAAGTTCAATAGCCTCATACACCTCTTACACTACCTGGCTCAACATTTGGGAGATGAGTATGAGAGCATGAACTCCACGGATAAAAACACCTTGCAAAGAGATACAGCTCATCTAAATAGTGAATATCAAAAGTATCGTCTTAAGGGGAGTAAAATATCATGTGAAGGAGACAGCGATAGCATGGTGATGGCGGAAAGAATAGTAGTAATTACAATAAGAGTGACGATGATGATTAATACCAACGAGGGCATGAAGGTTCATGATAAGTGTTCTATGTTTAGGATAGAATGCATGATGATGATAAAGAAGATGAAAGACATGAGAAGATATTGAAGAGAATAGCTCGAGAAGTAAGTCTTGATATTTTTGCTCTTCCATCATGATGAACTCTTTTGGTATTAAGATGAGATTGCAAGATTGCCGTATAAGTGATTGTTTGGATCATGGTGGTCGAGCAGCAGCAGCAGCAGCCGGTCAGATTGGACATATTAGCACCGAACAATGGATGACCAAGTACGATCAAACTTGAAGCCCATAAACCACGCAACAAGCTCAACGAATCGACGAGATATCCGCATGATTCAAGGCGTGTTTCCATTAATTTGAGCATTATACTTGTATTCATAGAAGTAGAAGATTCGAATTCCTGAATTAATCTAAAGTGTTGTCTGCTCATTTGAGTAATAGCAGAGACGTATCACTAGTGGGGAGCCGAAAGTCCGGGCTATGATATGATACTATGATATCGTCATCATCATCTATGATTACACTAAGGTCTAACGGCACATACCAGTGGTATGATTCCACTCGGTACGGGTGTTTACTTGGAAAACTTGTAACCCCTCGCAGTCCGAGATTCAGATCGGAACGATGGAATACGGGAACATCACAGAAATGGATGTTCTCGGAGTCTGTGGGAAAATATTGCGATGGTAAGCGGAGACACAGAGAGGTGGGTAGGATTGGGCCGGTACCGTAATGATCTTTTTGTGCCATCTTTCTGCCCAGGTAGAACATCATGCTTCGCCCATTATCTTCTCTTACTCGTTTTCCTGAGTTCGTCTATATTCTAAATCAGAATTTCTGATAATTGTGATCGTAATTTTTTGTTATATGCGGCGTCGTCCTTCGTGGATGCCTAACTGGAACGTCGGATTTCCCTACTAACTGTCTCCAAGATGCTCAAGTTTAGATGAATTCCGTATCGGGCTAGGTTCGTTCAGAGGTTATTGAAAATCTCTTGAATAGTTCATATATGATTACGAGCACGAGTCTCGAGTCATCGCGTTGATTCGAGTCTTTGTTCAATAATCTCGCGGCGATAGTTGATCGGTTCTCGTTTCTGCACTTCTGACTGCGAATATGTCCTGGTAAATACCTGAGAGCAGACATGATATCTGC